TGTTGATAACTAAAACGTATAAATTATAAATCATGTTCCAACTTAATGCATATCAACCGTATTATTCCTGAAAATTGACAAATAAAATAAATCGATAAAAAGCTGGCAATCATTGGAAAAATCGACAAAAATATTCTTAATTAGAGATTATGTTCGCGTCAACTGTCAGCTTTAGATTAATGCAAAAAACACACAAACACGATTTTATCACAAAAAACTTTTTATTAAAAAGCGACAACCATTAAAAATCGTCGCGCGAGGGTGACATTTCGCGCATCTGTCAAACGAAATTTGGAGGGAAAAATGCGATATTGTTGAAAAATGGGTTAAACGATGAAAAAATAATGGTAAACAACGAGCGGAGGGTTAAAGTGTAGTATAAACATTTCGCGGCGTGTTAACCCTCTACTGTACGCGTGGTAACTTTTGAACTTAATTCAATCTATTTAAGTGCGAATTTTTGATATCATAGTTCATTCATTCAGCTATAACGATTTTAAGGATATTATGTTATGAATACTTTTTATATGAGTACATTTTTGTCAATAGTTACAGTTAGTACAATTTCAATGAAGTAACCAAACTTACTTGAAAATTTACAAAATAAAATTTTGTTTCTAGTAAATTGTACTAATTATTATAATTCTATTTGGAAGGGAAAAATCTCAAATTAGAAAGCTAACATTAATTCTTAACTGTATATTATACTTTAGTGTTTCTAATATGTTCCTACATATTTGTTATTGAATTTATTACCAAAATTTAAAAAGAATGTTGTCATACACAATTTTTTTTAATATAAAATGTTTCTCAAGGTGATTTCATGAAAATAGCATGTAAATTGGTGTCACTGTTGTCTCTGTTAAACTGAAAAAATAATACTAGAGTACGACAATTTCACAGCAAGATTTCACAAGTTATGATAGTTGATTTTATTTTTGCCCAAACGACTTTGGTTGATGTTTTTTTAGTAATACATTAAAAAGAGATCTAACTTCAATTATGTTATTTTTATACTTTTTAATTTTTTTTATCTAAATACTTTTACATTTTATTTTTTATGATATGAAAAGAATAGTAAACGATATCTATATATAGGTATAGGAAGTTTCGATTATTATTCCATAATGTATTTTTTTTTAACTTCGGCTTCCTAACAATAAGCAATCAATCAATTATTATAGTATAGCAATCTTGACACAGCCATCCCTACGGCCTTATTACAAAATAATAAAAAAACACAAATTTCAAAAAGCGTAATTCCCTAAAAAAGTAAATCCGTTACAGTCAACAAAAAAGTGAAAAAAAACGACTCTAAATCACTTTCTAAAAAGCCATTGTAACTTTTAAACCCTTGCTTTTCCAAACACGTGACATGCGCGCGCCGCTTTTTTATTTTCCAAAAACTATAAAAAGTTTAATTCACTAAGTACCTACACCCAGTGACCTACATTCGCCCCGTTGTATTTTTTCCAGAAATGTGTAAAAAGCACCCCTTTATTAAGCTTTTTTGTAAACGCGATCGTGTAATTGAATGCAATCCTTTGGAAAAGGGTTCAATAATATAGCCGATATTAACTTTTTTTATGACGTATCCAAACTCTTTGCTAAGAACTGTCATTGTTGCGCGCCAAAAATTACACGTTCTGTCAAAAATTCGCGCCATTTACTTCGGCGGCCATCTGCCGAGGAGAAAAAACTTTAAACACAATGCAAATAGGGGTGGGCCGCGTGCAGGACATTAATTTTTAGGGGGAATTCGACATTTTTGCGTAAAAACGAAAAATACATTTAAAAGTATAACAAACGGGTGTCCCCTAATTTCAATACTTAATGTCTGATTCATAATTATTCGGAGGATTATGAGCGGAATTCTATTTGCGATTAAATTGATATTCGTTCAGCAATACGAGGGCTTTCTCGTTTTGCATTTTATTACAGTTACGACTTTGATTTTTATTATTTCTGGAATTTTATGGACATTACGCGCTGTTAAGATTAATGACTATCGCTAATGTTACAAATATTTTAAATGGCATAAAGTATTTGTTTTTAGTATTACATCTAATGTTCAAGCTACGTAAATTTGGTCTATATAACCAGGATTTAAATTACATGCCGATCATCGGATCAGTAAAAAAAAAATCAAGTTCCTACTTAACTGCTTGGTAAAGTGTAAAGTATTTTAATTATAAAACATAATCCGTCATTTAATAACCTAGTACAGACACGGATTTCATTGCATTCACTAAAACCCAACCGATATACCTAAATTAATTTTCTTCAATCTGATATCAGATATCAATATAATTAGGCACAATTTATCAGGTAATATATTATTTTGATTCTTGGCTACATCAGTAGCCATTATTATCTGCTAATTGTGTACCTTTTTAGCTAAGAATATTACGATTAATTCTCCTGTATCAACGCCGTGCCATATAAAATTAATGATAAGAGGAAAAGCATCTGAATTGAATAAATATAAATAAATAATTTTATATAATAATTTTCATTAATTTCATATAATCAAAATCTAAACGCAAAACATTTCTGAAATTGAGGTGGCAAAGTTATGAAAAGAATAGACAAGTTGATGAGACAAATAGAAACAATATGTATAGCTTATTTAAATTAATTATTCACAAATCAAATGCATTGTAATTATGGTAAAATTCCTCGTATAAAAATTACCAACTGTTTTTATAAAATAGAGGCTATAATTACGAGAATGTGGACGAAATGGTGAATTTCTAATGTTGTGAATTTTAGAGGTAATAGGAATAGGTATGTATTTTTTTTTATAGAGCAAATATTATTAATTCACGTTTTGTCTCAACCAATGAATATCATTGGTCTCAACCGTTTCAACGACTTTCATAGTTAGGAGGGTGAAAAAACCAGAAATCACTAATTATTGACAAATCAAAAAAACAATCAATGTTGACGATTTCTAGTATTTTGCGTCCTCTTAAACATATGCGTATTGAAGTACAAAAAGCCCATGCAATCGATTTTGAAACAAATATTGTTTTTTACCCGACTGCGCGACGCAAAGGAGGTTAATGTGTTTATCAGTCTATACATAGTATGTATGTATGTATGTTTGTTTCTATGTGGCGTTCTACAGACCAAATGCGTAGGCCGATTTCGATGATCTTACGTCCATCAATAAAACCAGACGCCATATTGTCAAAATGAAAAATAAAAAACCGGTTGAATAGGTATTTTAAAATTAGCTTTAGGTTCCTTTTATAATTTTTCATTTTAATTAATAGTTTAGGATATATAACGATTTAAAGTTGTTTAACAAAACATTCTCGCTAATTTTCTTACCTATTGATTTAAGTTTTTATTTAAAGTATAAACGATTTACAAACAAACAAAAAAAACGGTGAAAAAGCATGAAGAACAAATATTTTTGGTAAAAAAATAAAGCATATGTAGCTTAGAACGTGCTTAGAACCGAGTTAGATCTCTAGAGGGACTAATCATCAGTAGTTTAGACCATCGCAAGTTACTTAATAATCCCCACGATATTAACTCCCTGAATGAAATGACTAAATTGCGAAATTTACCATCTTATAACGAAGTCAACGAATAGTAACTAAAAGTATAAAATAAAAATAAATAATTTAAAGAAAAACAAAAAACCCGACCCAGAAGAAGCGGGGCCCATTTAAATTTTCAAATCTTCCCAAGGGGCCCCGACTTCAAGTCGTTCTGTTCTGTATTACATAACAGAATTCTAAACTACTGGGCTTGTTTCTTTCTTTTTAGTTTTTTAGTTAAATTTTTATTTTTCATGTATTTTTAAATTTTGTTTTTACGCTGTCAGGTCTTTTGATTTTCTTCAAATTACTTATTTTTTAAATATAGATTGATTTAAAAAATATTGATTGCTTTTGATGTATATAAGAAGACCTAGGGCACCTTACCAGCTGTGGACATATCGCACACCTAGATCTAAACTAAGACAACTCAAAAAACTAATGTGGAGGTCTGACAATACATTTGTTTATGTGGCAGGAACGCGACCACTGTTGATTAGACAAAAGAAAGCTAAAGTTAACTAGCAGCTCATCCCCGAACCTTTAGTGAATCTGTTATGTTGGATAGATGCGTATGATCACCGAGAATTTGAATATTGTACAAAGTCAAAACTCACTCAAATTTTTGAGTTGTCTCAGTTTAGATCTAGGTGTGCGATATATGTACAACAAGTTTTTAGAGTAATTTTTATTATCTCTGATAAAATAGTCTTATAATTAGACGACCTTCGTGACGTTATTCGCACGCCGGTTTCAAAGTGTCACCATCTTTAAGGTCTCGGGTTCGATTCTAGGTCAATGTAGAAAATGAAATTCGTTATATTGTTTTGATTATATAAGCGCTTAAGGTTATAGGTATCCGGTGTTGTATAATGTTTATTTATTATATGAAATACCTAAAAAGATTCCTTCTTGAAAAAAAATAAATAAATAAACTTTGAAATAATCGCAAACAGATCGCATATTTGGCTTATTCCGTTTATCCACCCTGAAACAGCCACCCTGAACGTGGTGGATAGTTGAAAGTCACTTTTAAATGTTCTTCCGATTTTTTATCCCAAGTACAGTGGAATAAAATCGTCTACTATACAAAAGTATTCATCATGTATTTATAAAAATCACATTTTCATTTAAAAAATTAAATATATTCTCCTTTATCCAAAGTATCTTGGGCTGGCTTTATACGTTTTTTTAAATGACTGTACACGGGCGAGGGAGAAAATTGAAAGTAAAATTATGATGCGGATTCCTGTTATCCATAGATATAGATAAATACGCGTTTCTGAGCATCCACTTTAGGGTGGCAATTTCAGGGTGGATCTGATAGAAAATTTTCAAAATATTTCCTGTTTAGGACAAATACTATAATAATCCTTATTTAGTTATTTTCGTCCATATCTATGGAATATGATGAAAAAAATAGACGATAAAACCGTTCTACAATATAGAATTCGAGTTAATTTATTTTAAACGTCATAATACATATAATCCATAAGAATCGTAGCGGCCAATAGAAGCCCTTTCTCTTCATCTGTTAGTGTTTGTTCGAAAGCCACCCCAAACCTGGAAAGATCACAAAGTTAATTTTTTTGATGGTTGATTTTTAAATATAAACCTTCATGATGTCAAACAGTGGAAATTTCACAGTTATATCGAGAATAATATAGCCGACAATTAGAAGACAAAAACAGGTCAAATGCGAGCCGAACTCGCGTATAAAACGTCCCACACAATTATCTACAAAAATTAACAAAAAAATAAGTTAGTTGCATGGGAGCCTATTTCAATATTTAATTTATTATTATTATATATATAAATATATATATTTGTTGTTATAGCGGAAACAGTAAAAGTTTTTATTCTCACGGTTCATGAGATACAGCCTGGTGACAGACAAACAGGCAACGGAGTCTTAGTAATATAGTTCCGCTTTTACCCTTTGGCATAAATAATTATATAACTATATAGCTTTTGGGCATGGAACCCTAAAAAGCGCGAAAACAAGAAATATAAGATTAATTTTTATGCAAAGGGAATGAATATATACAGTCTCAAGTAAACATTCTAACTTGTCCATGACTGGCGAAAAAAACATGGCGTGAGTGAGTCCCTGCCAGCGTTTGTTGGTGGCACCGACCGGCACACCGTCCATGCGGGCGATGTGGAACTGCACGTCTCTGAAGCAGCTGAGGGTTATGTATGGACCTTAAAGGGGAACAAGAATGCAAGAATGCATGCATTGACAAATGAGCGGTAAGATTTCTAATGTACAGTCGACAATAAAAATATGTGCTTAGGGGCCGTCCATAAATTACGTCACACAAAATTCACGATTTTTAACCCCCCCTTCCCCTCCCCTCCTGTCACCTGTTTGTCTATACAAATTCTACTAAATATTGTTCTAATACAGTTCGTTGACCCCCCCCCCCCCCCCTCTCCTAAAATGTGACGTAATTTATAGATGTTATTTAATTTTTTAAATATAAATAATAAAAACAATAATAACGCTTTATAACGCTTGGAAAATGAGCAAAGTATGTGTTATTATTTAATATTTATTTGATATGTGTATCTCGGAAATCTTTAATATCATTAACTGGCTTTTAAGAAACTAAATATTTTTTGAGAGCGTTTCTATTTGGTTTTTGAATAGTAATTATATCGATTTAAATTAAGATCAACACAAATGGTGTTGCTCAAAAAACCAATTAATTTCACTCACACATTTCAGTTATTCCACCCATTTGTCGCTTTTTCTGTCTTATTTGTACATCTTCTGTCGTCATTGAAAATATCTGGATCTCAAAAGAGATTCCGTACGAAAGTCCACGCTTATTTTTCGCATGGAATTTTTAAATTTGTTACTGTAGCTATAATTCATTTCTAAGGCCTAGAAATATGTCTGCGGATGAGCTTATAGAGATCAAACAACTGTATCGGGTACCTCGTATCCAGAATTTGTGTTCTCCGTTAGCGTTCTTCACCAGATATACAGGTCTAACAGCTGTCCACTGTTGCTCCACACTACCTATTTTTTGGCCAGGTGGTGCAAATACCTTTATTTGATACAATTAAAAATTTAATTGAAATGTAGTATTTACTCAGGTAAAGAAAAATGCTAAAAAAACCAGGATTGGAAGCTAATCTGCACTATGCATTTTTTATCAATAATGCAGTGATTAGCATGTTCGATCTGCGATGCTGCAGTTCAGTAATTTTCATATGGTATCGGTGACCAAAATTGTATTATCAAGTATCATCGTGTTTCGAAAGATGCGTCAAGCATCCAGCACGGTTGTATCTGCAGTGGTTTATACGCCAATCCTCACAATTAGAGCTGCGTGGTTGATTGTCGCGTATTTCCGTATCGGAGTCCATCCACATAGAAGGTTCGTGCCCCAGAAGTTAGATCTAATAGGGTGAAGACCACTATGGTCTTTTCAGGAATGAGGTCTAAAATCTAGTCATTTGGATTTATTCGAATGTCATTCTCGTTACGCATTAAATTGTGAAGTTTTAATTAATATTAATTATATGTAAGAGATACTACAATATGGATTAAAGATTCGTATAAAGACCTGGATATTCTGTAATTGGCAAGGGAAGACCCTCGCCGTACAGGCGAAAGGTCGGTTTATCCTCATCACCTCACGACCCTGGCTATCACTCACATGCAACTGTAGCGGCCGGAGACCATAGCAGAAGTAGCCGACCCACCAACTGATTAATACAAGAAGGAAAATTGACGTCCAGGGTACCCTGATATATTAGACAATATGATACTCTTGCCATGACATATAATGATATAATACAACAGACATATAAAGACATATATATATAATAAAAAAAACTTTTTTTTTATTATTACGTATAATATATATTTATTAACAAAAATTAAGTTTTGTTTTTTGAGCATGTTTGAACTTAGTCAAACTTATTATAATTCACAAAATTACGGCAACCAAAATTATTGATAAAGGAAATATTTAATTGTTTGTTTGTTAGCAATAAATTGACTCCATAACTACTGGGCTGATTTTAAAAAATCTTTCACCTACTCTTATATTTTTTTTCATATGCGGTGAGCATAGGATATATTATATCCGGAAATACTACAAAACAAGAGAGTAAAAATGGGAGTGGAAGTTTGTACAGGGATTAAAACGTTACCACAGTAACCATGTTTACCATGGATATGAATCGATATCCAAATAAACAGTTCCGTAGGGCCCACGCGGGCGAAACCGCTGGCTGAAAGCTAATAAGTAACAAAACAAGTACATCAAAATAATATCAACGTGCTCATTGATATAACCGATAAAACTATTTTTAGGGTAGAGTGGTAGCGAGACAGATAGGCGGTCGCTCCCTTGAGCGTGTTCACCAAATTCAAAAATTTTACAAAATATGTATCGTCTACATCCAAAGAGGCATATCAGAAATGTTTTTAATTATACATAAATAATTCAAAAAATGGATAGTGTTCTATGACTGTCACCATCACCTCTCCTGAAAACTATTCCGTGTCTTGTGTATCCGAAATGTGAGATTATTGTAGGTATCGTTTTCTTGAACATGTCGGGGAAAAACTTAATTGTGTCGTAGAGGGAATGCATCATACATTCGGACTCCCCCGAAAGCTAATCAAAACGCGGATAGTATACCCACTAAATCTCTCATACGGGAGAAGGGACTGGAATCCATAAGGGACGACTTCACGATTAGCCTTCGGGACCGCTTCCCCCATTCCGCGGGAAGGAAAAGACTATGGTACCTGACTTTTCCCCCCGATAGTGAACCGTCCCTCTAATGCAGACTATGACTGGATCGTCAGCTCAGAATATGTTGTTAAACAGAGGTATACTTTAATAAAAGGTCCCCCACAATCTTATATCACAGAATAACGTAACCTTATACAATATATTTTCTTATACCTGATAAAATGACAAAGTTTCACCTGTTCTCTTCTTCAACGGTGTATACAAGATTGTGATCTGGGGTTCTGACAAAAAACTGGTTCTTCTTTCCCCTGAGAAACAAAACGTTCTTCACTCGGAGTCGCTTAGTGATCAATAGCCGGTCAGTTGGTCCCAACAAGTGGAGAACTGATGGCGTTGAACTTGATTCCTGTTAAAGTTTACATAATTACGACCTCTGTGACCGAGTGGGAGCACGCGTGTTTCAAGATATCGCCACCTCTGAAGTCGAGTTCGATTTCTGGTCGAATAATGAAGAAAACTAGTTTTTCTCTTATTTATTGTGGGTTTGGTTTGTTACAAGTGCTTTAGCTACTAAATTTGAAATCTAAGCAATGCATGAGGTTAGTAAGATAACTTTCTTACATTAGTTCTAGTCCATCACGTGTCAGTTCCCATAAAGACAAAAGTAATAATTTACTTATTCAGCACTTATTCAGGAACGATGCAATAATTGGTTAAAAAACCTAATAGCCCTTTACATTATTTTTCATCGAATCCGTTTGTTTAATGGTAATGTAACTTACCGGTTCAACTTGTTCCGTTGGTTCAGTACGCGGCTCGATGGAAACATCGGCTGGTTTCACAAGCTGAGTGTAAGAGTGTGCAGGCGCTGTTGGAATAGGCGCTGATGCTGTTTGCATAATTTCTGATATATCTTTTATTCGCATCTGATTTCCTAATAAACTATTAGATTCATAGTGATGTTGTGTATTACTGTCGCTAGCATCCCCGTGACATGTGTCATACATAATTCATAGGTTGATTCATAGAGGAAATTGTATATTTAATAGTTTGTGGTTTAAGGCCTTAAAAGTTCATCTTTTGTATTTATTTTAATCCCCCCAAATTTTGGTAATGTAAATGCTTTCAAAAATCAGTACCGTTAACAAATAAACACATATTTAATATAATAATATATATGTATTTAATACATGTCTCTCATTTCATTATTACTTTTGACGATGGTTTGAAAATCATTGTTTCCTTTTGTTATCGCGTTCTTATAAAGTAAATGTTATTATTTCCATATTCATAATGTTTATGTAACATATAAATTGGCCTTTTTCGGAAATTCTCGCAAATAATTATCAAACTGAATGTAAGAATTCTAATATTTATAATATTATTTTGGGGATTAACTATAAATATTTCAATAATAATTAATAATATATCTCTTGCATTTTATAGAATCTATATTTTTTAATTTCATATGACGTCACGCAGGTGTTATTTAGACAAGTTCCTAGCGCGTTAGCAATTTAGGAGACGTAAACCGTAGTTTACGTATTTATAACTTTTAACGTCATGTTCTTGGTAAATCCACGTAGAAAGAATTGGTAATTCAAAATAGTTTGGTTGAATGTATTTATATCATGTAATGGTCTCCTACGTTAAAGTTATCATAATTGTGGTTGACGCAAAGTAGCCATCAAAGACGAAGAAAAAGAACTTGTTTATGTAAATCTTGGTGTCCTAACGGAGAAGTTCAAAGAAAAATAGGACTTAGCTGTTTTTTAGGGATCCGAGCCTATAAGGTAAATACGGGGTGTCACCAGGCTGTATTTCATGAACCGTAATAGCTAGATAAATAGTTGAAATTTTCACAAATGATACATTTCAGTTGCCGCTACAACAACAAATATGAAAAACAGAATAAAATAATATTTCATACAACAAATGTGTTTTGTGCGCTTTTTATAAATATGGACTCCTTCGTGAGCGAGTTAGACACAAGCTCGGGCATTTTCTTAATAATAATAATATAATGATATCTTCTACTACTAGAATATAATTTCATATAGCCCATAGAGCCTATAGTAGACAGAATAATAAAGTAAAGATTGCAATCTTTCCTATACAACTTGTCAATAAGTCTTTAAAAGAAGATTTATCACAGACAAATACTCATAAAAAAACACTGAGAACTCGTTAATTTTTAAATCATTAGATAAAATATTAAGCTCTTGAATTAATTTTTTGTTTTGTACAGTTCCATGAATAAAAAATAATCTCAGCAAAATCAATTGGTCAAGAGAATGTTGAATTGAAAATGTCCATTATAATATTTTTTGCACACAATCAATCAACTGCCCCCTTAAATATGCATCGAACATGATCGGGTCCCATGCAAATTGCGCATTATTATTACAGAAGGGGAGTTCATTTAAAATTTTTGTGAAAAAACTAGGAAACTGTATCGCTTTTATAGCGCGTTACAATGTAGTGCACTGACAATGATAGTAGGGTGACAGTGAATTATAATAAAAATACAAAATGAATTTTTTTATCAATCTATTTGTCTATAATCGTGGCAAGAAAAAAAGAGTTTAAATGGTCGTATTAATTTATAATAAACTTAATTGTTAATAAGTACTTTCTTTCTTTCTTCTTTGACATATAACTTTTTAAACGATGATTTGTTTCAGATTTTAATAAAGTTTTAAACTAAATTTCTATACATACCAGAATTAATACTGAAAAGTTATTTATGTGACGATGAATCTAGAACGAAGTCTCAATTTTTATCTATCACAATAAAGTAAATAAATTACTTTATTAACAGCTAAAAAATATTAATCTAGGTAACGCTTTGTTTAGTAATTTGTAATTGTATTAATTCAAAGGCGATGAAAAAGTATCAATAAAGCAATAGTTTTGCTTCAAGTAGTGCTTTTTGTTTCCGTTTCTAACCAAAATCATGGTCATCCCAAAATTTTAATGTGTCCACGCACGCGCCGTCCGCGCATGCGTTTTATGCAAAAACGCAAATTTCGATCGAAATTTGAAACGGCCATTGTGTTACTAGCATTCAATGGATAAAAATAATCGTTGCAAACTCGATTTTTGGGGAGAAAATGTATTCGGAGCAGGAGTGTGCCAAATGGAATTAACAACAGTTTTTATGCAAGTTCGTATTAATAAGAATGAAAGTTACTATATTGTGTAGAATTTGATATAAGATACAAAATTAGGGTTGGGTATTTGTTGCAATAGAACTTTGGACGGCATCGTCTCTTATTTTTAGGGTTCTGTAATCAGAAAAGAGAAAAGCATTAATCGTTGGTGAGTGAGTCCGTTGATTGGTTTGATTTTTTATTATTATATCCAGTCAAAATCAGGTGCATGGAACGCTCGCATATACTTTTACTCTTTGATGGCTCGTTTTGGAATATCCGATTGTGTACGAAATTTTCCGTGCTTCAAAATAAAGACTTCTTCGCAGGTACATACCTACATCACAGAGGTCATCGTAAATGCGGCCTAAATAGTCTAATTTTAAATTTATCGCCATCCCTTATATTTGATATGCGATTGCGACGTATTTTGGAAGATATTGAATGAAAGATATCGTTAATTTGATGTTGATTGGGATAGTCTTAGGCAAGCGTAAATGTCAAATAAGAGTTGCACGCTAGATGCAAACTTTCATCTTTCGTTTAGGTAGCTACTTTTTTGCTTAGGCGTTGTCGTGTAACAAATAGCGAAGTTCTGTGAATCAGTATATTTTAGTTGAACTATGCAACATTTTACAGAACATATTCAAAATAGGTTTATTTTAAAATAAAAGACTGATTTATTCTCGTAAATTCTGTTATTTACTTTGTACTTCAACATCTTTTAATCTCATACAATATTAAATAACATACATACAATAAGTCTGTGTTTGTGTTTCGCTCAAGACACAATAATACATCTTTAACAATTTAAATCTAAAGAAAAATAATGTTTTAAATATCAACAAAATATCTATGAACTAAACTGTGTTCTATTGAATTTAACAGAATATAATTAATATCTATCTTAATTAAATACTCTTACCGCTTTATCTCGTATTAAGGCACAGGGTGATGTAAATTTGAAATATATTTATATAGAAAAAACACTAAACAAAATTAATTCTCATGAAACTGTTAATCTCATTTTCGACAATATAAGGCGTCATAAAAGTTATCTCAATCTTTGCGATCTGATATACTATGTGTATATTTTTTTCTAGAACAATAGAAATATCTAATTAAATTTATATAAAAATTCATAGATAACAAGACTTTAGTCATGATATTTAAATGATTTGAGAATAGTAAAATTCATTATAAACAGTTTTTTTATAAAGTACATGGCGCAAAATCCAATGTCATTTTGTAACCAACGACACGGTAAACCGTAAAATACGTGTAGAAAAAACGCCATGTCCAACCACTGCTATTTTAATTAGCGTCGTGCTAAAAATCACCTCAAACCGCGGTATTAACTGTAACATTGAAGATATCCGAGCGAAAATCACACTCACACGGCATTTTCACGCGGAATCACTAACAAAAATATAATCAAACTTTACTTAATAACAATAAATCTATAATGAAAGGCTCATTGTTTGATATCATGACAAATCGTCATTGCTCATCTTTTTTAATTTTTAAAATAACAATATTAAAAACAGATTGTTCTAAATACAATTACATTGAACACTTTCAACTTTATACACTTAATTTATTAATCAATAATTCATGTTCGTGACAACACTAAGAACATTTGCCATAACTTAATTCATCACAAAAAGCTAAAACTTATACACGTGTATTGCTTAACCAGTGTAAGTGAAGTTAAACCATTGTAAACATAAATTTATATTTACATTTTAATAAAGCATCCGTATGATATTTAATATATAAAAAGCAAGGCACTTCTTAATAGTAGCAATATCATCAAATAAATATCGTCTAAAAATATATTGTATCACATTTTAAATGTATTCATTGTGGTCCTCTAATTATATTGTTTCATTTATTTTATTTATATATACATTTTTCATATATAAATATAATATTTTACCATAACGCTAATTCTTTAAGGAGCACCATGTATTTTAAATTATTAATACTTTTGTTATAACAATGCCACACAAATAAAATATAGAAGTTGCCAGTCCATAAAATCAGTTTGTTTAATAAAAAATAACTATATATTTTAATATATACTGGAATAAATTGTTCATAAACGTTTTTTTTGTATACTGCATATTACTTTTTTATATTTGGCATAATATTTTTACCAGGGGTCGGAAACCGGTATATTTTTCGAAACGTTTTCATCTTAAATACTTAAAAAACACTTTGTTTCGGTTTCGTTCGAACAGAACGATATAAAAAACTATTTTGGAAAAAAACAGAATTATATTGTTTTCGGTTAATAAAACGTTTTTAACCATTTATTTTGCGTTTTTTTGCATCGCATACTGTAAATAACGTAATAAAATAAATGTACGCCGCCCTTACAGCCCGCGTGGCACCGTCTTGCGGATTAAACCGGTTTTTTAAAGCGTTCTCATTTCGTTTTCGTTTCGAACGCAATCTTGCCCAAAGAACCATAAGAAACGTTTTAAAAACGTTATTTTGAATAACGTTTCCGAGCCCTGATTTTTACACATATTCGGTGACATAATTTAATACATAATTATATTTTACATAATCTCAAAATATCATGCATAATATAAAATATATACCGATAATAATAATGACAAAGTATAATCAATAATAAGTTTCTATAAGAATCAGGAAGTATTATAAAGTACTTTAATTTGTATAATACCATGACCAAAAATAGGGCATAGCTCATTTTATTTCCTTGTTATAAATGTTATGTCTGAGTTTTTATGCTAATTTTATTTAGCACAACCAAGTTAATATGACAGATAAATGTATTGTACAAAGTTTTTGATGATAATAAATGTCAATTTTGTATTTTAAGTTACGAGTTCACATAATAAATAAAATGCCTACTTGGGTGCACATATACAAGTGAGAAAAAAATATATATTTGTTACTTACCGGCAATCTTCATATTAATTTAAATTTCGTTAATCATATAGTCCATAGCACGCCTGATTATTATAAAAGGTCAGATTTCTAAAATCAATCATAATTAGTCCAAAATTGGCTACAGAAGTGTAGCTTGTTGAAATATTCATACATTACAGTACAATCGTCCATTAAAATCATCTTAACATAATTTATGAAAAATTACAAAATTTATATTTACTAATGTTGGTAACTATAATATAAATCACGATAAAAAATGGCAACGCACTGCAACGTACTAAAATAATGTTTTATGGCTCCTACACACATGCCAACGGCAAGTTGTCGCTTTGCAAGCCGCGATGTGCTGGCATCAAGCAGCACAAAAGAACCAATGGCATGATAGCCCGAGTTACAAGGAATTGTAGATAGGTATTTTAAAAAATATATGCTTACGTAAACATCTCGGACCGTGTCGCCGGCATGTGTGTAGGAGCCATTATGTATTACATTTTCATTTTCTTTGGTCTTTGACAATAGATGTTTACTGGGACAAAAATGTATGCATTACTTATATACAACTATAAATATACAATTCCGCAAATTTAGTCAAAAAATATTATTCGAAACTTTAGTTAATATTAAATAAAAGTAGTATCAATATTACTCATCACAAAATATCATTTATAATAATTTATATGGACATAATAAAATAATAACTATGAGTTGCCTTCATTTTCAGTATAGAAATGTATAAAAATATTTAATATATAATACGAAATAAGATTAACTCATTTAAATTATCGTGTTTATGTATAAAAGAGGACTTTTATAAGTACGCAAATATTATGATGCGATGTTTTATATTAAATGGTATTAGATTATTTGAAATACATTTTCATAATACACACTTATGTTTTTATATTATTGCAAAGAGATCTTTTACTTAGTATTCAAATTGACGTATTATAAAAAGTGTCTAATATATCGAGTTAATATTGCATCTTTGTAAATACCGATATTTTTTACATCCAGCACCATCTATCGGTAAAATCTAGAATTAACTATGGAAGCACAATTTACTACAAAAGTAATATTGTAACGCGAATTAGTTTATTCATCGCAGAAAAAAAATCATTTAAGACTTAAAACGTATAAGCTCATTTATTTTATGTAATTTAAAAGATAATAGGAATCTGTTATACTCTTAAATTTAGTTAGGGCATATTTAATATTCAATCAATAAATTGAGATGTCCTCAAAAAAGATTTAATACTCTTTTAAATGATTCTATCGTACGTATTTGTGCAAACCTATTGTGGTGCAAATGTCAAAAAGTAGTACCAGTCTGTTTGTTATAGTTTTTGTATGTATTTGTTTGTGGCATTCCCACCTGTGCAGTGGGGTGGGGAGGAGAGGCCTAAGAGGTCGTCACAAAAATATGCAAAGCTTTCTAAAGCTTGATATTTCAGTTTGTTGAGGTACTAGGGGTATAACAACACTAAGTTTCCAGTGCGGTCAGGTTGGAGCATGTGGCTGCGGGGCAATGTAAAGTACGAAAATCTAAACACATATGAAAGATTCAATAGTTCAAAATAAAGGAAAAAATTATATTTAATACAATAAAGAAAAGTAAACTCTGCATCTGAGCGAGATTGAAAAACCGTGTACTAACGCGGTGACTCAACAAATGTCACAAGTTGGTGTTAAAATGAACTCCGAAAATTTATTACCAATTGTTAGTAGGTAGTAAAAAAACTCAGACCTTCATTTAATGGAACAAACACATTCAGCAATCGCTAGAAGTTTGTTTCGCACTGGGTACTGAGTGACATTTACCTAACGTTATGAGTCAATTGTAACTTTTTTGAAGCTTTAGAAAGGTGTCGCACATTGTTGTCACGATCTTATCTAATGGCTGATTTACACGTATTAAATAGATAATTAAATATTAAGTGATTACTGTGTATTTACACGCACTTACAGCTAGTTGCAAAAACCTCCATTAAAATTTTCATTAATTTAAAGCGACATAACCCATATAAATTTGACATTCATTAGATCTTTAAGGCGCATTAAACCTTAATGGACATTTGTACAACTGACCGTTAGTCACTTAAAATTAAATTAACTACTTATTAACTTATAACAGCCATTAGTACACAATGGTGCACGTCAGTTTACCACAATACACTGCAAAGGATGTCAATCTCTACCCTCAATATTTTAAGCTTTAAAATTGAGTGGGGGGAAATTGGACAGTTCCGTATAGTCTGTCTGTACAGGATATGATATAAGAAGCTTTAGTGCGGTATAGTGTGGTCGCGCGCCGAGGTCCATCAATAATGTAAGCTCTAAAATTGAGTGGGGGAAATTGGACAGTTCCGTATAGTCTGACTGTACAACATAGTGATATAGGAAGCTTTAGTGCGGCATAGTGTGGTCACGCGCCGAGGTCCATATCGTAGCAGTGCGGGATGGGTCGCGGGTGGGGGCGCGCGTGCGGCGCGTGCGTGCCGCCCAGCAGCAGCGGCAGGCAGCCCTCGCCCAGCACCAGCGCAGACTCGGACAGCAGCGAGCCCGCGCCTGGCGCATGCAAATACCATAATACACTAATCGCTCATTCAGCGGCGGACTGGGGGAGGGGGGAAGCCCAAATGGCTGCATTCATCCGAAAAAATCATAATCAATTTTAAAAATATCAAGATTGTCGCCCTGGGCCTCCGATGGGATTTAGTCCGCCACTGCGCTCATCAAGCCTTACGCAATAATCGCATATCAATAGAATCCCAACTATTTGCATTTTACCATTGCACTATCTACCTTAAGCCCAATACTATTAATGCAATCAGTGGCGTAACTATAGCGTTTGAGGCCATCGGCAAATTCATCGGATATTAATTTTTTTTTTTTTACTAATTGGGTAATAATAAATGTCAGGAGTAAGGAGTCTCCTCTGACCGGGGAAATCCGTGGTGACGGATATACAGGGAGCAACAAAATGACCGACACAGCTGAAAGTTTCAAGTTAGGTTACATGCAAACGTTCATTTTATTTGACAAATATTTCAAAATAGAGGAGGTGTAAAAATGGAGTAAAAACTTTAAATTTCCAAGTGTTGAGAGCCCTATTACGCGCATGCGCAATATCGATTGTGCGCAGATAACAACGGACCGCGAAATATATTAATTTAATTTAATTATTTACCGATATCTTAATGTTAGTCGGTGCAGAAAATATCCAATTCTTCTCTGAAGACAGCTAAGCACGCTAATTCGTATTTTGTTACCACGCAATTGTTTTTGAATTTTCTTTTTAAATACATTTTAAATAAGTAACCAAACTCTTACTTAGTGTTATGTTAATGGATGATGTATTAGTTTAACTACTTTAATAAATGATCGTGTTATTTGATCCGTTTAGTTACATTTTTTTGGAAACTCTGACTATTTGAAATAATGTAGTAACGTAATGTTAATTAGTTAACATTAGAATAATCTTTTTACAATGATTTATTTAATTGTTAGTCCATTAATCAATTTCAGCATTTTGACTAATTCGTTTAGTGATAGTCATTTTGAAATTGTTAAAAAACAGTTAACTAACATTACTTAGTTTTCGTTTGCGATTTTAGTTTTTGATGATCAGTTGATGGCAGTTTGATAAAACTAGGACTATTTGAGTTGTGAAATTAAAAAAAATGTAGGTTATTGAGAATAATCAGGAGAGATTTTCTACTTTTTTCAAATCAACAACCGGCTGTTAGTCAGTTAATCGATTTAAGCGTTTTGTCTGCCTTGTTTAGTGATCGTCTGGTAGAATTTGCATGAAAGCAGTCTTATAAATCATAAACTAGTTTATTTCGATTTTAGAAATGAAGAAGTCAATGACCGATTAAAAACTTGTTCCTTAGTACGACCCAAAAACAGCTGACTCAGGGTTGACAACACTCATTTTTCCCAAAAACTTTGTAATTTAATATCTCCGAAACTATTTGACCTAGACATATAATTTTTGTTTACATCATATTAAAGACAAATAGTACTCTCCAGGAACCTCGGGAGTGTCGGTCGTTTTATTCCACCGAGTATAATGATATTGGACTTCAAGTAGATAGTATAATATATGGATAGTACACGGTCGAGTAACTCGGTGGCGCAATCGTTGTTGTCAAGCAGCTTTCGCATGAGTCGGTCACGGGATGGGTGACCAAAATATTATTATCTCGAGCACGTTAAGTCATTTGCCCCGGCTGTATTTGTAGTCGTTAATACCCACCAAACGGCATTGGGCCAGCGTGGAGTGGGAACGTAAAAGGGCTGATGATGATGTACAAAAGCAATAAACAATTAGTTGACATTCTATTGAGATACGACTGTTACGTAACCATTAGCGAAATTGGTCTACAGGGCATATGCAGTATCGATCGAGCTGTCACTAGGAAACTAACGAATATTGCTAATTTTGCAAATGCACTCGGTACGTACCTAACAAATAACATAATAGTTAACTACAGACACTTTCAATGCGAACGCTAGGAGTTAGCGACCGAATTCGGTAAGATCACAACCGAAAACTCTCTCGAGACTGTAGCTCCTTCACAACTAAACTAACTGTACAGTACAGAAAAATCGTTCCCACAATTGGTTACTTGGCAGTTTTGGGAGAAGTATCTTAATACATTCATATGATCATATTGAATCACTATCAACATTTATTTTCTCTAAAATGTTATTAAATAAAAAAAACATATTTTTGGTTAAAATATGATTCGTTAATTTCAATTACCCCGTGAAAACAATCAGCACGTCAAATTTCAATAAACATGAGTAATGATTGCTTACTGATACTCGTCAGCCATAATAAATTTTAAGTATGATTTTTTTATAATTTTATTTGTAATTTATTATGTGCGAAATTCAAAATCAAAACCGATTTAATATGCTCATATGTTTGATAGTTTTAAAATATTTTTCCAAAACAGACAAGTAGCCTTTTGTATATATGATCATGATGGACAAATTTAACAAATTTATATCTCTATGAATTTCACTCATACGAACAGACACTAATGATTCCAATATTCCAAGGACTTTCATCTCCCAAAACAATGACAACGCATGGTTATCTAAATTTTATAAATATTAGCATCAGACGTCGATGAACGGTGACAGTTTAAAGGATAGTAATCTTTATCCATAGCAACCACAAACATTCTATACTACTCCATTATCTACGTAATTTTTTATTGTGGCATCATGATTCTCTGTCCCCGTAATTTTTGTAAGAAGGGGTCCAAAGTTTTACATCAGATATCAATGCATGTGCACCGACTTTAAACGGATTTGAGATATACTGACAAAATCTATCAAATATTGAATATATTAAAACTAAATACTACATACTACAATTAGGCTCTATTATTAAGCTACCATTTTATTTCATTATACAAGCCCAATAAATCTCAAAAGCGTTAAGCACCGCATTTATTATTAAAAATGCACCCATACCAAAACCAAAGCGAAGAATATAATAAACACTATCTACGTTGCAACCAACTGGTCATAATAACCATTTAATTTTACGGCTAGGCCTTTAATTAAATGGCGCCACCTTCACACCTAGTTTTGTAGTTGAATCATTAAAACGTTTAACATGATGTCCTTTGATCATTGATAATTGCGAGTCCTTTAATCGTGTAAAATAAAATTTACAAGTAAAGTTTCATTCAGAAAAAAATATTTATGGAGAATCTTTATTTTAAATTTTTCATTTATTTGAAAAGAAAGTGTATATACCTTATATATATCGTGCATCAATATCGTTTACGACTCTTTCTAAACAAATCGAAAATACAGCAATAAAGACACAAATACACAACATAAACTGCAACAAAAAAGTACACAGTGCAAGTACCTGAGGAGTGGTTGTATGAAGGTGTGTCGTCGTGGAGGATCGAGGATATGTTCCTGTCGGCAGCTTCTGCTACAACGTCGCTGAGACAAAGCTGGGATGTCGGCGAAGAACACAGCATTGGATCACCTGCACAAGAAAATACCACCATTTATCTTTGTCAATTGTTGTTATTATATGTAACTGTTTGGTATCAAATTAAATTATGGTATCTAACCACATATCAAACAGTAGATATTTTTTTTATAGGAATTACCCAAACTTATTAAAAAGGAAAAGGAAGGTTGTGATTTTGACCGACGAAAAAGAAGAAAAACGTATGTACATATATATGACACTAAAACGAAATTATCTTAAACGAAACGAAATTATGACAACTTAAAAGATGCGGTATTGATAGACTATATTAGAATATTGATAGAGAACGTAAAAAAATGAACTAAAAATATATTTTCGGGTATCAAATGAGAGAGCTTAGTTTGTTATTCCAGTGATTCTTAACCAGTGGTCCACGGAGCTTCCTAAAATTATTATTATGCATAAATTATTTATGCGTAATTTATTTATGGTTACAATATGTATGTAATGCCATGGTAAGCTAGATGGTCCCTAATGACCGATTGAAAACCACTGATTTGTTCGATGGTGGCAGTCGGCATGGCGTTGGCATGTTACCTTGCGTGACGGGGTTGTGTGAGTCGTCGTCCATGAGGTCTTCGATTTGCGCTAGGTTCAGTACCGCGTCCGTATCGCTGCCCAGGAGACCAGGAGACGGGGACAAACGCATCTAATAATAACATTAATATATTTCAGTATAAATTTTAATATTTATTAAAACATAATTACTAAATAATTTATATTGCCAAATATATTGACATTTGAGAAATAATACAAAAGTAACAGCATGACTGCTATTAAGTTTCTGAGATACGGTGTTGTTTGTGAAAGTACTAGTGCTGAGTGCTAGTCGACCGAAAACGCTTGCTACAAATTCTGGCAAAATTACGTCATACATAATCTGGGCAATCTTAGTAATAATATAATTTTTATTTGTGCGTTTATGAATATCATTGTTACAATTTATGTGACGAAAGCCTTTTTTGTAATATACTCGTATATTCGCTATTTTTTAAAGTATACCTACAAAGTGTAGGATTTCTCAAATTAGTGTAAATTTTGTTTAACATTTTAAGTAAAATTGTTTACATTTTCGGAATATATAACAGATATCGAAAAGATTTTACAGATATTTTCACTTGTAGGCAATATCCAAATGATAATCTTTGTACTCAATATAAATACATAAGTTGAATAAGTTATGTTTAGTAAATATAACTTTAGTGAATATAAATACCTTCATATCTTTATGTGAGAATACATCTGTGTCGAGACATAGTGGTGTTTCCAGACAGCCTAGCGATAGACCTTCGCTCCGTGACAGCGGCGAACATCCGTCCAGCTTCAGACCATCTGATATAACCATTACAAACATAAGTATAAGTACCTTCTAATATTATAAAAGACAGAATTGCAGAATTTTTGTTAAAACTAGTGGACCAATTTTAATAATAGGGATGATGGCTGGGGTAAAAAAAAGTTAAATTTTATTAAGTTCGTCAGATAATAGAAAAATATTATATATCTATATAAATGAAGGCTAACTTTCTGCAATAAATTTTCTGCAAGGAACACGTCAGACAACAGCATACCAAATGTATAACCACAATTGATTTAGAACTCTATCGTCGATGTAAGTCGTTATAAAATCAATTGGTGAAATGTGACAGTTCTGTATGATCTGAACGGCTGTTGAATGTACAAAACAAGGACAATCACCAGTTTACTTCTAAGTCTAGTCTAATTTATCCCGTAATTTGAGTTGAAGTTCGATAAACATTCTATGGTTATGTTTTTTTTAATTACAATAAAATATAGTTTATGCCTCACCTAGTGCGTCTAGCGCGTTGAGACATTCTGTCGATGGCATGTCCCTCAATAAATCCGGTGGTTGATCGGCTAGCTCCATGAGGGGTGAAGGTTCGGTTTTCGGCATTATTACTTCCTATTAACAATCATATTAAGAAAATTAGCTACTTAAAGTTATCAAAATATAAAATTGCAGTTATTTGAATCATAATAATTATTAATGTAATAAAGAACAGATATCAAAAGGTAAAAAATACACAGAGAGACAGAGAGAGGGATACATACGGGTGTGTTGCGTGATGGTGAGGGACAGGGCTCTATGGTCTCATGTCCGGAGTCAGTATCGTGAGAATCGGTCCAGCCGTCAGCACCGGACACTGGTAGACCATGCATACGCGCCAACCTTTCCAATTCCTGACACACATAACATCGATATTTATATAGACAAGACGTTAATTTTACTTTAGTAACACGTACAGTACATCTTTCAAAGATCACAATATGTGTCATATACCATACGAAATATTACTTGCTCTACAATATAATCTCAGAGTAAAGTGGCATTGAATACGGCTACCAAGACTTTTATTTTCGTTTTTTTCTATAATTTTACAAGATAAATATCAATCACAATTAAATCTTAAAGTGTTTTATATACGCTGACTTTAAATTTACTTAATCTTCTTTCGCATATGTTGAATTCAAAGTCAAATAGAAAAGTACATTCAAATAAACTAATTATAATTACTTTGGAAAGTTTTGAATAATACTTTTATTAGTTTGAGTAATTAAAAAAATATATATATATATATATACCTGTATTCGAAGCATTAGCTTTCTGTTGTGTAATTCTATCTGTTTCCGTCGCTGTTCACTCTGTTTCAATCTGTTCACTTCGTCCCTCAGACACTTGATGTAGTCGACGCTAGACTTGAGGATAGTTCCTTTGTTCGGACGGACGTCTCTGATGACCTCGTAGAATGGATCGTTGGTTTTAGGCAGGAGGGTACCGAGTTCTTTTATTCGATCGTTGATGTTGAACCGGCGACGACGTTCGACTGAAAGAATGATTTATGTATGTGTAAACTTAGCTATAAAAGTACCGACTCGACTTTATGACACTTACATTTCAAAAGTTCGGTTCGGTTATGTTTACTTTATAGTTTCAGTTCGGCATCATATCCATATTAATATATACTATTTAAAATCGGGTATGGCTACCTACTCGAATAGAGGTGTGGACAACATTTTTATTTTTTATTTCATTATTATATACATGAAATATATAAAAAAATAGTATTCATATAATATAATAATAAGTTAAAACCTAAAAATAAATTTAATTTTCAAAATTTCTTGCTAATACGCCAATTCTGACATGGCGTAAGCAGAGTGATTTGAATGCCACAAGGTACGATCCTTATTACAATGGTGTAATTGCATTTGATGTTATTTTTCAGAAGCTTTCAGTTTCTAGGTAAAAATGCAAAATAAATCTAAATATATAATTATAAAATTTATGTACGCGCATAACTTCCAAACGACTACACCAAATTGAATGATTCTTTCTTTATCTGTTCCTTAATGTCAGGACAAAGTTTATGTAAAAGAAAATTTATAAAAAGATATAATTTATAAAAAAAAAAACGGTATATGGCAGTACGAAGTCCGCCGAGTCAGCTAGTTACAAATAAATAAATAAAGATTTGTTGACGTCTTACTCTTTGAATACGTATTAAGTATTTTTGATATTTTAACAGTATATACTCACTTATATTATGATTGTCCTTCTTCTGGCGATCTTTGACAAGAGCGTATATATCAGCGTCTGACAATCAGAAAAAATGGGTTCTTTGAAGCCAACGACGAGTCCAGTCTTTTTTATTATTCATTCAAATCGCCAGCCTTTTTGGGAGATTCATTTATTTACTCCCAATTATGTCTATTATAACTAAAACGATTTAACTTAATGATGACAAACCAAATGCGGGCCGATTAGGCTTTATACAAGATAAATGTGCATTTTAAACCGCTCTAACGAACGAGGCCTCTATATAAAAGAAAGGGATATTGACTTCGATTGAACATTTACACTGTTCCATGAATGTGGACATTTTAATAAAGGTTTAAGTTCAATATGTATGTCAGAAAATTATAAGTACGGAAGAATAACAGTCACATGGTAATTATATAATTAGCTATTTAATTACTAAATTGATTAGAAATGAAATGATCAGATTCATCTTTAAAAGCAGGTAAACCATCAAAAAAAAAAATTCTGTTTAATGTGGGAGGATACGCTACCGAAAAAAAATTATAACTATGTAGTTTAGGTGATTGGGGGGTGGGAGGTGCGGAATGCACATATAAATACATTTATTGATAGAGAGATTAGCTGTTTACGTATTTGAAGAAATAAGAGAATACCCTAACATTAGTAATTTTTTAAGAGTAATGGATTGAAATCGAAGTCATTAAAAATATGAAGTTCAATTAGTTTCGCAGGCGACTCGTAGATCACCAGACTTTCAATACTACGTTGGCTTCGATTAGATTGACATTGCATTGAATCAACATTTACTTTATTTATTTGCTCTTTATTGCATTAAAAAACGCATATTTAATGCCTAAGGCGTTCTGTACAAGTCAATCTGAATCATTCGATGTTGCAATAAGTGTATATGATTCCATTCAATGTATTATACTGCATCTAACAATACAGTATTTAACGTTGCGTGCATTTTGATTGAATCCAATGCCAAATTAATCGAAGCCAACGTAGTTACGCCAAGTGGGAGTGTTTGTATAATGGTATGCTCACTCATGTTATGGTTGTCCTTCTTCTGTCGGTCCTTGGCGAGCGCGTGCATGTCTGCGTCGGAGAGTAGCGCCGTGTCCCCCGCCACCGAGCTCGCTGCGGACGGAGGACCCGACGACGACAGCCCCGCACCGTCCAATGACAGGATGTCCTCCAGGAATTCATCCGTCTGTACCAGACAACGGACATCAGCACCGTGCGGGGGATATTTGACCATACGTAGGATACACGACCATGCGAGGAATATAAAGTCATGCGGAGAATACTCGTCCATACATAGGATACATGACCATAAGTCGGATAAACGACCGTTCAGAGGATAAACACATTATTATACCCGATTTACAAGAACAATATATCTTAAAATATAACTAAACGCTTCTAATAAATGAACTTTCAATATTTTAATGTACAATGATGATATGAGTCTTACTTTATTTATAGGAAAAATCTACTCCATATTTCGGTTCTGTATGTCTAGTGTGCCTACCTCCGAGTTTGTAGTACCCACGGAGCAAAGTCCAGTGGATAATAGACTGGATGAAGAGGCACGGTCGGGGGATTGTGACCTCTGCGCGCCCAATTCTGGCGCTGATTGTACCGGCGCCCCTCGAACCACACTCGATACCTAACAAACGAGACGTTAAGACGTAAGTTATAGATCTGTAATAAATAGTTAAAAGAAGAATGCAAAAACGAGAAATTGATTTGTAGTACATGTAATAATTTTTCTATATCGTGTTGTTTCATACAATAAGATTATACCACCTTGCACAATTTTTGATAACTTAGAAAATAACTCCAAATGTCATGTTAACAAACGATTTTATCGTGATATATGTATATATAGCAAATAAACATCGATCAAAAGTTTCGCAGATCAAACGCACGTACACGTAACTACAAACATTGAAACGGGAGAAAATTGCTTCTAGAAATCTCCCAGGGTTGACACTTAATTAACAGACCTTAAAATCGAAAAGAAGCTAGTTCTATGTTCGATGGGTATATAACTATATTTCTTTTTTGAAACAGGAATTCATCATCATCATTCATACAACGTCTATAGAAAATATTTTTTTTATATAAAACATGTGGAAGGCATGCGAATGAATATAATATCTTCAAAACAACTAAAACAGATATCTAACTAAGTAGCTAGTCTTTGTATTTTGAAAATCTGAAACAGAGAGACGAAAGTATTTATATTAACCTGACTATGAAATGGCGACACCTTGAAACCGGCGTGCTAATAAACTATAATACTAATAATTTAAGTTCAGATCACTACCGAAATTATTTATATTAATTAAAAGGCGTTTTGAAAAGTGGCTGTAATAAGAAAGATATCGCACGATTCAAATAAGATTTCACAATTAAAGAAGATATAACTATCCTTATCGTAGATCTTAATATAATTGGCAACCCTACATCAATCACGTTAGCTTTTAATGAAGTAGTATACGGAAGCTGACTCAAGTCTGACAACCAAAGAAAACAATTTATCCCTGGTTTTAACATCAAACTATTTTTAACAATCATAACATTACAATTACGCATATGTCATATATTACAAGCCGGTGTCGCCATCTCACAAATCCAGAATTTGATTCCCGATCAGCTCAACGATAGAAAAATAAACTTTTCTAATAGTCTCTGGTTTTTTGAAAACTTACAGACTTAAGCTACTTATATTTATTAATTGTGCCTTTTTAGCAGCGTTGTCTGATTTTAGAACGGCGATTAAATGAAAAAACACTTTATTTGCAATAGAAAAAGTCAAATTGAGACTTATTTTGGTCGGATATCGGTTTAAACTTGACACTCCCAGCCTTTTAATGTCCCCAATGCTGGGGCACAGACCTTCCCTACGGATGGAATCCAATAGAGAAAATGGGCCATGACCCAGTGCGGATTAGTGGGTATTAACAACTGCAGATGCAGCTGGGGCTAACGGCTTAACGTGCCCTTCGAAGCACGGATAAATTTTTGGTCACCAATCCTATGACCAGCCATTGCGAAAGTTGCTTAACAATGGTATCGCAAACCGAGCGTGCTAACCTCTTTGCTATGGAGCTCCTCAGGCCCTGAAATGGGTGATTAGGTTTAAACATGTTACCTGATAAATATTTACCTGATTCTGAGGTTGAAAAGATTCACTGAGATACTGTCGGACCTGGCTCTTCTGCTTCTGGATCACGTGATACCTGGTGGGGTTCTCCAAAACTGTTCGGACCTGAAAACGGGCAATAAACGGAATTTTATTACCAAATGCGTCTCTTTACACTAAATTAACAATTTTGTTGTTTAGAAGAAATACTTGTGAATTAGATAAAAAATATATATTACGACCCCGTAAGAAACCCTAAAACATGAAGGTTACCCTAAAACTATGGATTGGGCTTTTGAAATTAATAGGGAAGATGATTGGGTAAAAATGAAGAAATTTTATTTAGTCCGTCAGTCAGATAAAAGGTATTTACATAAGCTGAGGAGTGGGGGTTCGCTAGGTACCAACTATGTAAAAAATGTAACAAAGTGTGACGTTATGCGACATTTCAAATCAATTTGTCGTCATTTTTTACTATTTGAATAAACAAAAAATAAATAAGAAAATTTGTTTAATATTCTTCAACAATCTACCTAACAGGGAGACAAACAAAAATTAGACCACATCCTAATTACATAGATTAGTGGCCTCTTTTTAATGCATTGGTTCGGGTGGTTGTCGTCCTGTCGTTGATTCTGATTTATATGATAAGATTATGTGATGTTGTTCAGTACCTACATTGTCATGTTTGTTTTGCGTTTCTTGTGTAAACACGATTCTTGTATAAATGTAATAATCTACATTTAGCAAGAGTAAATTTAACATGAATTTGGCATGCTAAAATACTCGTAATATGTGCACGCTTATTTGTAACACGATGCTTTAATAATAATGGCGTCGCACTTGAAGATTTTACAATAAAATGATTTTTACTTCCGCGATAAATTATTATAACATTTTATTTATCTTTATTTCCAGGCTGCATGGAATTTACTATTAAGCACATTTAACTGTTATAAAAATCGAAATATATTTAGACGCTCTCTATTCTATTTCATATGATCGTAATGAAAATGGAAGAGCAAATGATATACACCCGGTTTTCTGAATTGAAAATTTAAAGTTAAGCACGTCTCAAACTGTACTTAAATGTCAGTTAAAAAGTTTTCACGTCTGTTTTTTTTTATGTTAATGTAGAGTTGATAGCGATTTGATAAAACAAGTACTTTTGCCTTGTGAAACGTAGAAAAAATCTTATGTTATTGAGAATAATCAGTTAAGAAAGATATTGTAGTGTTGTTTCTCAATTCAGATACTGGCCGCTTATCTCATAAAGTTATCTAATTTAGCACTCCTTCAGCTCAAGCATGCTACAATATATTGCTAAATGACACAGAAATTATAGTAAATGTATACACGGCTTAAGTTTAACTACCTGTAAAACCTGTGGAGGTAGTTCAACATGCGGCGTGATGCGAGGCACGTCTGTGGGGATTGACTTTTTCTTCTCTTCATTGTCTTTGGATTGACCAGCTTGCTGTGCCTGAAAAGATAAACGAAATGATGTGCTGAAAATATCTATCATAGTCAAAATCTCTTATTATTACAATTATGGAACATATTATCTCTTGTAAATACGTCTTATAAGTAGTTTTAGTTATAATGACTCTATCTTTGCTAAGTCCATTAGTGAATAAAGATAAAAAGCTCAGCAATAAGTGACAGTGTTTTTTTAAGTTTTCATTTGTGCGAGTTACATGAATGATAACAGTATACAACGGTTACCCCAAAATATTGGAAATTTTAACTTATTAATATGATTAATAAAATTTCCCAAACATAACAAGTCGGTAATAAAAATGATACATGAAAAGCTTCTTCAAATTAGATACAGTATTAATAGCTCATTATAAGGCTCGTGCAGCTATCATCACTCAACTTTCAACTACTTTTGAATTAAATAATTAAGACTGTAAGAAATAACGTGTTAAAAATTTATACTATTTAGCCAAAAACGTATTTTTTTAAATTTATCGGTAGATAATAAATCACATAGTTATGCTGAAATTCATAATTTTTAATTTTTAATTATGCAGCACTTTAACAATTCTCACAATGAATGGTGAAAATTATCACAATTGAGAGTAATTATATGAGGTAAAAAACTTATTTTGCTGCACAACTTGCTATCCTATATCCCTATCTATCTCATTAGTACAACCAATATATAGGTATAGACCGTCTTTTTATTTCAGTCTGATGACTTCAAATAGTCCTATATACCTCTACCTATATCTTGTCTTATAGCAGTATAGGATTTATTAGACTTTATATTAAGTTACACACTAATTAAATATTGTTTTTCAGACAGATCAAACAATAATAATAATGTAACCACTCCTCTTTAGTGTTCACAAAAAAAAATACACTATTTTTAACATACATTAATGACAAGGGGAAATAAATTATACACCCATGACAATATTCATGTTTAAATACTCGTACTTTACTCTTTGGTCGTTTTTATCAGTTTTTTATTTTATACGATTAACAGCTAGTTGCACAAACGTCCATTAAATTGACATTAATATTAAGCGACATTACCCATACAAATTTGACATTAATTAGAGCTTAAAAGCGAGAGCGTGAGCATCATTAAATTTTAATAGACGTTTGTGCAACTGACCGTTAGAAAGAAATACGCAAGCAAATTACTGCCTTAGTAATGAAAAGTAATGCTTAAATTTTATGGTTTTGTGAGTATAACCTAAGCATGATTTCACTACCCTAACAGTATTTTTTTGTTTGTTTTCATTCTGTAGGTATTCACTTTTTGGATACCAATACGGTATTTGTATATTTTAAAATAATCTAAGCCTATGGCATAGCTATTTCATACCATTCTGTAAAAAAAACAAGAGAGACATCTAACGTAAAGTAACTGAATCGCAAGGCATCACACACACACACAACACATATTGCGTTCTGTCACATAATGTTAGATGGCATCGTTCGAACAAATTCAATAAAATGTTACAAATATTTTTTGCATTAAGCACAGATTCAATTAATTTAATTGATCTGCGAGTAACAAGGGTTATATGTATGTATCATTATTTAAATCATCATCATTTAAAATTAAAATTATCAATTGTTGCCAAAATGTCAGATAATTGATGAATTTTTAATGGGCTCCAAAATCAATTAGAGGATGTATTTTATTCAGTTAATATTTATGTAATTTTTAAGTGAATTACAGACAGATTAAAAAAAAAGTTGTTTATGGAAATTTTGTTTTTGTATTAAAAGAATTAAAAGATCTATTTTTACCTCAGTTCTCTCACCTGATTTATAAAAAAATATTTTTAAGTCGTCTTTAGGACCTTGGCCAGTGTCTGATGTACTCAGTACGGTGCCAAACATAAGAAGTTTATATTTTATATGACACTCGTCCAAACTAGTCGGTATGCAAATCGGTCCGCTCGTATGACGGGTTTGGTACTCGGTAAGTGCGGCAAGCAATGGCTTTTATGATAATTCAAATTGAATTTCTTAATCCTGACATGTGCAAATAAAAACCCGGCTAATAACGAGTCGCACTCTCCTAACAAGGGCCCCGTACATATTTATCGGCCTAAGGCCTAAAGCTGCTCTAACGGAACGAGATGTTTGAAAAATCTGCCGTTCCTACGTTGTTATGTGTATTAACTCGAAATTTTAAGCAAACTGACTTAGTACATATTTGAACCGATCAATCTTCATTCATTCACAATGCTATACTGCAAAATATTCTTAATGAAAAATGCTTAAAAACCCACTTTGTCCTTGGTACCCCGGAATGGGACTCAAACCCACGACCTAAAGGCCGAAATTAGCGCTTTGCTCCCTGAGCAAAGGAACCGTTGAGCTTTTACCCTTTTGCATTGCTGTGTTTTTTTTATTTAATGCTTATTTTGTAGTCATTAATATTATATACTTATTTATTCTCATATGTTAAATAGAAAGTGACTTGTTATATTAATCCATATTGCTCATATTGCTAAATTAGTTTTGTGATGGTAAAAAATGTGGGACTATTCAAAAGCACTGTAATTACTTGAACATGACTTTCTATTTATCATTCTTAACTTGTACCACTGTGCTATAAAACGTTGTTGTGCGCAAATTTTATTATCGTAGGACAACAGAATGTAGGTAAGTTATAGATTTTTACAAATGTAGGAAGGAATAGTATGTCGTTCAATCAAGGGATTAGAAACTCCTGAATATTATACATTAATTTGAAAATGAATGATCCGATGTGTTGCTTTTATGATACGGTACCCTAAAAAATATACAATTCTAGAAATATATGTACTATCATACTAATGAAGCGTGAAAGTCACTTATAAATACGAACTAGCATTGCGAGTCCGAGGATATCACGTTGGAAGATCGGTTGATCAAAAGACGAAAAACATGTTTTACCGGCTCAACGAAAATTAATCTAGGTTGAACAATTATCCATCTTATGAACATAATAATATAGGCTACCGGCTAAACGTCGCATGGTCAACGGAATTTTGCATTCATAAGCCAATATTCATATTTGTGATTTAGAAAAATCCAATCTTAGGCATTTAATTTTTTTTAAGTATAAATTTATCATAAATCTATACTGCAATGGTAGCAATGTTGTTAATAGGGTTCTAAAGCCATTGGATTGGGAGTAGCCATCTATTGTACAGATTGGACAAAAATTAAGTTCAGGTCTGTCAAACTGTGTTCTTAATTCGAATTCAAGGAGTATAACTATATTTGTTTGATTACGTGATATATAATAATGTTATAACAAATTCAAAATGAAATAAATTTTTCAGTTTTGTAGGTAAGAAACGAAACAAAAAAAATGGTGACGATTCTATTATATCACTCTCGTTTAGAGGGTGGTGGCACCAACGTCTTTCCGATCTCCCAACTTGAATAAAAGTCATATAGATTAATGTTAATATAAAAAAGAGAAGAAAATGTGTCTATGACTGATAGTGACCAACTCAATATTAAAAGTAAACTCTTTTAAATTTATTCCTGCATAAAAAAATAAAATTACAATAAAAACACAAAGGCCAAAAATAAAAAAACCTGTACTTTATGTTTTATGTTTCCAAAAAATATTAAATAACTTACTTGTAAAGATTCCCTGCGTAGTTGCTCCTGCGCATGTTCGCGCATCAACTGTTGTTTCAGTTGAGTGCGCGATGTCGGCGTGAGTGTTTTGAACGTAGGAGGACTGCAACAAACAAACAGACAATTGTTAATACAGATACAGAATGTATTAATAACAAATTTGATCAAGTCAAGTCGTGAATGCCCGTCTTTTAGCGTTACCAATCAAGTAGTGAGACACTGGAAGCTGATACCTGATACTGAGTAAATATGTGATATTGAAAACTTGTCAAAGTAAAAAAGAGATTTGTTTATGTACATACGGCTGCACGTCTAACCCAAACTACACCCACAAAACATTAAGGTTTAAAATCAAGTGGAGAAATTTACAGATTTGTATAGTCTGACTTGCTGTAGATTATTAATAACATTTTAACAAAACTATTGTAACAAACTAAAATTTGATTTTCTTTTTTTCATTGTTATTTTAATATTAACCGCTGGACTTTATTTTATTAGAAATTTCTTAAATGTGTATTATTAGATTTTTTTAGGTAAGGTGTTCACTTTTTCAAGTTGTTATAAAAGTCGACTGTAAAAATAATTTCTGCATAGGGTTTAATTTCATGCCCGGTAACGTACTTGCGAGTTACTAATATTATACATATGATAAGATTTTATTGTTTGTTTACATTGAATAGACTCCGAAACTACTGAAACGATTTTACAAATTCCTTCACCTATAGGTAGCTAGGCTAGCTGATTTACAGCCAGTTGCACAAACGTCCATTAAGGTTTAATGATGCCTGTAAGCTCTATTGGATCATGGCGCTTTTAACTAATGAAAATTATAATGGACGTTTCTGCAACTGGCTGATAGGCGATAATTTACGTGGGCGAAGTGGCACAAAAACAACTAGGGTATTCTACCTGTAAATCTTGCATCAATAAATAGACGTTTAAAATTATGTACGCACGCCTTTCTAAAAGCAATAAACAATGATAATAAAAGGGCATTAGTATCAAGATCAGGTGCGCGAGTGAGTGCCGCCGCTGGCGGTCAAGGCACACACGTTATACCACCGCACATAACATCCTTAGGATTACGTTCGCGATTACTGTGAGGTAACTAACGGCAAATCAAATATTGTTTATTTTCCAAACAGTGTGCAGATACTAAGCTAGACAGTGACCACTACACTAGGCTCGCAGACCTATCATTATTTATAATATACTAGTTGTTTCCCACGACTTCGCCGAAATTACAGCGTATAGCATTCGCCTATGAAGTGTAGTTTCCCGTAAGTGAAAGAATTTTCATGATAGGAGCAGTATTTCCGGAGATTACAAACGAATAAAGTTAGAAAATTTACCTCTTTTATAATATTAGTAATTTTTATTGAGAAATCAGCCGATTTTTGTTACCTACAAACTAATAGGAGGTAGGTTGGAGTTAGGTTTAGAAATGGCTATATAAGATATAGGCAATAGGGCAAAATTATAAAATTTTGGAAGGTCAACAGCACTTTAACACAGAAATATTCTTTATATATTAAGGTATTTCTGTGGTTTCAACAACACAACCCTTAATGATAAGTTTTTGATAATAGATCACAAAATCAAATTAACAAAATTCTGGACATCAGATATATAATACAAGTGCAAAATGAAAGTAGTTGAGATTATTTTGGTTATTACGTAAAAAATGGCAGAATGATGCCCTAACAAAATATATAATATTGAATGACATTCAACCTTGCACTATCGACGGCATTCATCAGTCCGTTGAGCGTACTCACTCATACTTCCCATGACGGATGACGGTTTTGATTCGTAACTTAGTATCATCGATTTTTACCACAACGATTGGTATGCATTAAGCAATATGAGTTATTAATTTCAAAAATGTATATTCTAGTCTGGAAAAATGTACGTTTTGCTGACAATATTATAAGGTCATAATAAAAACTAGTATAAGGCAAGACTCATGACACGATAACAAACTGTCATAGATTACACAAAATTGACAAATTTCTCCTCTTGATTTTTGATCTTAATTTCAGTAGTTGTAAATCAATTGCTAAAATTTGAAAAATTGTTGTAACATGACATGCTGGAACTCCTGAATGGAATAGGAGTTTGTGTATCACTATTTTTTAATAGAGGTGGTATGTTTTGGTATGATGAAACGTAAGTTTACTCAGTTTCATATGTTTTTATGTTACAATCCTTGCAGAACGTATAAGAAGGACATGATTATGAAATTATGCTTTTGCGGATATACATTTCCTTTAACACTAATCCTAATTAATTTGTGATTACGAAACCGTTGACCAAGAATACTTGCATCATTGATTGCACATGTCGCTATTAAACTATTTATGTCTTCCGGCAATCATTCCAACGAACGACTAAGAGTATCATCAAGCCACTTTAATTCTATAGCCATCCTGACGTAAAAATATTTAACCGAAACAAAACTATTTGTAACTATCAAACCATGATATCTAGAAAATTTTAGTACCAGCTCGCGTAACATAACGAATTCGAGAACGTTGTGTCTATCCCTTAATGTCAATTTTCTCGGGTGCGCCAATACGATATCAAACTCTCGACCTGAAAAAACTGACAATATGTGTAGACAAAGCGTTTCTGGAGTTAACTTTGTTATGTTACATGTGCTGAAGTTTCGAGATTATCATAGTTTCACAGCAATGGATTTTATTCTCCGCAAGATAGCTTTATTCTCTTTTCGTTAATATTCGTTATTAGCAAAAACTAAAAATTCCTATTAGAAAAAAATATTTTAAGAACTATATTTAAATATTTTTTTCTCCAACTCCAGAAACGCTTTGTCTACACATATTGTCAGTTTTTTCAGGTCGAGAGTTTTATATCGTATTGGCGCACCCGAGAAAATTGACATTAAGGTATAGACACAACGTTCTCGAATTCGTTATGTTACGCGAGTTGGTACTAAAAGTTTCTAGATATCATGGTTTGATAGTTACAAATAGTTTTGTTCCTATTAGAAAAAAATATTTAAATATAGTTCTTAAAATATTTAATTCATAAATTGCGTTCGGAAAAGATTAGAAATATATCAACTATAATGACATATACATATAAGGAATGTGGTCTAGCATGGAAACAAGTACGAAAAGCATTGCAACCCTAACACATTATGTACACTTCAAAATAATAAAAAATCCTTAATTAAAAAATCTATCATTCTTCTAATTGTTATCACTACATAGTATAAAACAAAGTCGCTTTCCGTCTGTCTGTCCTTATGTTTGATTAGATCTTTAAGATTAATTAACGGATTTTGACACGATTTTTTTGAATAGATAGGTGATTCAAAATGAAGACTTTTATGTATGATACAGGACCAGGCAAACGAAGGTGCTGGCGGAAAGCTAGTTATAATATATATTATTCGAATACACATTGTCACTGTACGTTGGACTAAATACACGGATAAAAAGTAATTAATATTAAATAAAAAAAAATACGTAACAAATTACGTTCTTAAAATGTATATGATTATCTATCATTATGATATAATATCATATTAATCGTATCTTAGTAGGTTGGTACTGAATGAGTAATAAATTTTTGGACTGCATCATTGATATACACTCTATTTTGATTGTAAGGAATTTATCTTCATTCTAGTTAGTTAGAAGTGTGCATTACGTAATTCATTAGTGCATTGTGCTAAGAAAGTGAAATTATAGAAAAGGAACAAGTAGCCCCAAAATATAGCAATAGTTCGACTATCCCTACAGTTTTCAAAACTTTTCGGTTTAGACTTCATTACAAAAAAAAAAAAAATATTTTCGAAAGTTGAAATTCAAATATTCTGCACACTGTAACATATTAAGAATTGTAATAATCTACGTCGACGGTTTGTGAATTGTCAGTTTAACCTTATACCGTTGTTTCGTCATTCATTTCAATAAAGGATTTCAAGTGCGTACGCTGGCGAAAAATTCGAAATCTTCCTCACACAGAATATTAAATAACCAACAACAAGCGACGTATGCATTTTGACAACATTTAATTGCAAATATAAGTACAGTTATTGGTCGTATCGGCTCTTTTCCAAACCGAAAGGAATCTTTTAAGATGGAACGCATCAAGATTACGTTAATTTTAAGTTTCAATAGATAACGTTAGTGTTCTAAATTATTATTTTACAAATTTGCCAATAAGGGGCTATATTGCAGTTCTGTATTGAACTGTAGTCACTGCGACCAAAAAGACATTATAGCTTACTAGTAGAATAATATTAGCCTTTTCAACCTGATAGCCTCTAAGAAGTCTATATGATCTTCCTGGCTTACAAAGCTCTTAAATCTTCTAGCTGATTATGTGACGTTCCAGATTTATTGTACGTTTCTGGATCACAAGATATTAAGGGTTTCTCGCTCTTGTTTACAAAGTCTGCAAATATCATTGTTAATTTATTGCAAGTGATGTATGTTTAATTCGCAATACCCGATAAAGGTTCGTTTAATCACACATATATTCGTTTGTTGAGCTTCAAATGCTCTGTAATTATTTTTTTACGAACCTTCAACTGTACATTTACAGTGGGTCAAGCCCGGCTGCTTATGTCATTATTTGTTTTGAAGGTCGTTCTATAAGATTTGCATGGTATGGTCTTTTGAAATACCGTAAAAGAGTCCCTAGTACTTGTACTGCAGTCTTTTTTAGTTCACCTGCTTTATCATTATCTATGATCAATTACTTCTATGTAGTTTGCCTACGATGCTCGAGTGACAGTACCCATTTGATCTCTTATTCTTCTGCTCCAGCGTCGTGCCATGATAAAGATTAATCCGGGAATTTTCTATACAACAATGAAAAGGCTATCAATTATTTCTTAATTATATAAAAAATCGCCAAATTGGTCCAATCTTCTCGACTCACCAACTCTTTTAGGAAATATTTTTTTACATATATATATGCACTGTTACAAAGTAGCAGAAATGTCCTCAGTAAAAAATTAACATGTAAAATTACACATTTATTTGTAGTACTCATAATCGTGTGTCGTGATGCATATCTTAACACCAATTGAAGAGAACTATTCAGTCGGACGATACGTAATAACAA